TCCACTCGATATTGAATGACATTGGATTGAATCAAACAAAACTCGATTGTATGTTTGTAGGTCCTTGAAATCGACAAATAATTGCCTCGGTGCAATCGACTATTCGAATAACTCGTTAGAATGACAAGATCGCGAAACCCTATTTCTATTATTCTATCTATGTACTTTGAGTTTCATCGGCACTTACCTAGGTACTACCTGTTTATTCATTCAATCAATACTAGCTTCTGCCAGCGGTTTCGCCCACGTTCCCAGGAAAAAAGTAGCCCATGTATTACTTCAGACCATAATGTACCTACCTTCCTTCAGCGGTTTTGATGTGACTGAGTAACAAACATACACACAAACTCGCATATTATTGGCTCAAGCTAATTTCAACCATCGGCCCTACAGTTACTTACAGCGTAGAGTCCACTGCGGGCAACCTAACATTCTGCCAGGAATTCTTTGCCAGAGTCTGTATTTCCTGAAGGGTATAACCTGGGAGTCTTCAAGGCCCGAGTGAATAGGTTGCTTATGGGACGACGTGCTCCAACGTAGACCGCATCATCGCTTACCAACAGGTGAGATAGTGGTCAAACGTCGCCCCATCAATTATAAAAAAAAAAAAAAAAAACATTCGACAAACTTATATTTGGGTTTGGGACAATAACTGTGTCTAGGAATTGAACTGCACAATTAAGTTTGTTTTTTCGTGTATATAATTTTTCTGGATTAAAAGTTGTGCCTAGGACATTAAATTAATCATACAAAGTTTCATCGTAATCGGTCTGGTAGTTGTTGCGTGATGCGAGAACATACAGACAGACAAAATTTTATAACATTTTTCGGTTTGTATTGTATTGCATTGCAATTTTATTGCAAAAATGTGATTAAAAATTACCCTTAAAAAAAGCCTAAGTTCCCTACTAAACAAAATGCACAAAAAAGGTTGCAGTGCGTATGAATGCCAGAAAAATAAATAACAATTTAAATTACAAAAAGGTAAATTCATTAGAGGGATCGCGCATCAAGTTTCAAAATAAAGCTACCCACCAAAAACATTCTGTAAAAAACTAGCCAAGTCTCGATGGAGCTACTAGTTTATCTCTAAAAAGTAATGAAATATAACAAAGTCGTGCCAAGTCTAAGGTTCCTTATTGCGATTTCGTTATTATTATAGTTAATGTTGTGTGACTTTACCGTTGAAGGGTACACAAGGGTACAAAACCAGGTGCTCCATGACACCATTGCTCCAATCTGTCGCCAGAACCGCTATCCGTTGACGATGGAAAATTGCCACTTGGAAAACGTGGTGTATGCGGATATTACCTTCACTCTTAGTCCAATGGATTATTATATTTTGACCAAATTTTAGTGAAATTAATATTTTAGTGTAATTTGTTTATTTAATCTAATCAGGATCACCAGCCCACCTACACCAGATCTTCGATTATCCTAGTTTTTATAGTTTTCCCTTTATGCGGCCATAAAACCCTAACTCTGTACCAAATTTCAGCTCTCTGAGGTTATGGGAAGTACCTACTAGTTCTATTTTGATGATCATGAGTGAGTGAGTGTGTCATAAATGCGAAACTTTGCTTTCACTTAACTTCGAAACTAAATGACCTGTAGACTTGAAATTTTGGATTTTAAGTACTTATGTGATTATGCCTTACTGGATGACGATAATTTCTGCGTTCTGGTCTTATCCAGAGGTTCTCAAATAGGGGCCTGAAAATGCGGCGAAATGGTTCCAGTAAATGATGGTACGGCAGTGTTTGCTTGGCGCTCGACTTGGCGGGGGCACTGCCGTGCTCTTCAGATAGAATAATTCTTCAAAATTCTTAAGTCAATATTTGCATTCGCGAATATCATCGGCAGATATTCGCTGCATCACTATTCCCTACTAACATACGCCAGACTTCGGGCTAGTGAGTGGTACTTGGTACCTGGCTACCTAGAATGTTGAACTTAAAAATCTCTATAATTTGTTCGAACTGAAACCCTTTGCTCGGAAGTTACACTTGCAGTAAATCGTGGGTAATTTTCAGAACCACTCCAAAATCATTTTCACGCACCCTCACCTTTCATCGCCTACCTAGGTACTGCGATAGGTATATCTGTCAATTCAACTTTACAACTACAGTGATAAAGTTGAATATTGCGTGTCCACATTGACCGCGTAATTAAAGGACTTAGAATGTAGGACGTACTCAAATCAGAGTGCAAGTTCTATAGGTACTTACTGTATTTTACACAATTGCACAATAAATGTGTAAAAGGGTGCGTAGAATTATGCGCAGTTTAATACTATAACAAATACCATTTTCCCAGTAGAAAGAACTAGTAGGCCCTGTCCCTAATAATAGATGATCCAGTGATTGCCAAACCTGTCGGTCCTTTCACTTTGTGCCATCATTGAGACTTTCGGTTATCAGAAGTACAATAATTTTACTCTCGAACCCAGATCATGCGCTCATCTAAACAGAAATAAGACACACATATGAACAGAACTCCTACTCTTCCATTTATCTTGTCTACACTATGAATACTTCCGATGTGTTCCGTTGTTAGGGTGGTGTTGGTGAATGTGCGCTGGGACAACAACTTACAATATAACTATACTAGAGGATGTAAGAAATAACAACACATAATAAATATCAATAGTTTATTACATAAATTATAGCCAAGCTTACACTTCATTGTTTCTTTCACCTATACTGATTGATAGTAAAGATTTAAAACTGCGCTAATTTATACTATCTCTGTATACGAGACGGGCGCGCGGCGATCAAAATATACTCGAGGCGGGAACGAACCTGCCCTAACCGCACGCCCGCTTAATCTATATAAAAAGAATACTTATAAATAAAATCTAACATCACTCTATGTTATAATTAATTAGGCTATGATTGGTGTTACTACGGTTCCTATTCCGATTGTATCTGACAAAAATTATTCCTAATTTGATCTGCATATTAGTATTAAATAACTATTTGTTTCTGTGACCCCCCGAATACAGATGCTACTCAATTTTAAACTGAATTTATGTCTCGTACTGTCGTGACCATTCAATATGTTATACGGGGTGAACACTTCCACGAATATGTTTAAGTTGAATGGCATCCAAGTATTTGGGCTGCAGTGTATCACACTGAAGGAATTTTGTTACTGGTTTTCGCATTGGTTAGAATTTGATGGATTCTACACGTACTCGTTCCTTATCGAATAAAAAAACCAATAAAATCAGCAGTGCACACACGCGTGCTTACACACACATACAGCTGTTGCGTTATGACGTGTTTGCATTTAATGGGATCGAAATGACTCGCTTTGACAACATCATTAACCTCGAGTATTCAAATGGACGAGCGAGGCACATTTCGTACTATCAGGCTTTACTAGGTAAACAATTTCAAGTTGAAAGGAGTAGACGTACTGGGTATTTTTAATTGCTTTGACAGCAAAATGGTTGTTTGCCAATAATGTATGCGTAAACCAATAACAAAATGAATTTGTGACAGAACACGTTTCGAGACGGAGGTTGTTACCTGTCGGCCTGTCGGACATCACTGTCTAATCGAGGCTTATTATTGCTTTAATGAATACAGTTTCATCAGGTATAATATACATCTTATAATGTAAACAATTAGGTTCATTTTCCATAACACAAACGACGAATAAATTGGCCCTAAGGTAAAAGGACCAGTATTTTATTCGCAATTTGCATAAACACTGCGATTTTAAAAGTTTGTTAAACTATATCTTTCAAATACTGGACTTGTTCAGATTGTTCGTCCAATGTATCAAAACTCTTACTATATTCTTCATTTATACTAGCTAGATTTTAAGTATTAGTAAATAAATGTTAATTTTATTAGATTATTTTAACTCTATTGAATGGGTTTGGTGTTATGGTGCTTTGACCAGGTTGTCACACATCACTGCTACAGCTAAACATGTCTATCTTCCGTCAGATATTTGTTATTCGCAATAACTAATGGTTCGTGTATAAAAACTATGTGTTCTATTAGAATGACGTGTGACAGTCTGAGCAATAATATTCATGAATTTTTATATTCGCTTTGTAATATAAATATTTCTTATTGCTTACTTTTCATTATATTCGTCGGCAAAATATATATCAGCTGCACAGAGTGGCACGACTGTATATTGAATGTTAAAAATTCATGAACAATTGTATAAGTAAGAAGATATAAAATTTCTATATATTTATGTACTTAATAGTTTATAAGTATCAACTATGAATTGGTGTGATCGTGGTATGAAGGCAATCCTATTTGTCTAACAGATAAATACAGAAGATCACAGTAAAATGGGAATACAAAATGGTGGACCTGACAATTGTGCACAGTGCACATATTACACTAAACGTCAGATTTCGTTCACTATGGAGTGAATTACAAAATATAAATCTGTAATGAAATAATAATGTAGTACTATATCAATGTAAAAATGGCAAGGAATCTTGAGTGTATAACAGATGTAAGGCAAGAGATACCGCGTAGGTATCGTGGAGCGAGTCCTGATGACCGCATCGACACTAATTTGTTTAAGTACCAAAACACAGACATGTGCTCAAACAAACATCCCTATACATTGTCCAGGAGCCACTTATATTTAGTACGAGGTCGCGGGGTTCACATATTATTGCTTATAGTTTCTCTTTCAAGTTTATTCTAATAATTAGTCAATATATATTTTTCAATCGTGTCTGTATAAAATGGCATTTAATCTGTATATATGTATATTCCATTTGAAAATCACAAGAATTAATTTAATTTGTATAATATTGTTTTTTTACTCAACCTACACACAGATCAGAAAATATTCAGTACATCTTTGAACTTTAACAGACGTCATGATTCAGTTATAGATATTATGTCATATATAAACATTCTTAGCTAAAAGACGACTCACTAAGGGTTAGTAATTCATCTTTTAGCGAACAATTGTTTAACAATAAAAACGATAACTCAATACGAATATTAGGTACACTATAATATTACATCGAACACCGTTAAATGTCGTCGAACGTAATCCTGGAAGACCATATACATACATTTATTTGAAAGTTTGAGAACTGAAAAGTTTTTATATAAACTTGTCATAGTCAAAGGATTTGTAGAATTAAAACTAGTACTCACAACATAAGTAAAATGAAAATCAGCGGATACACAATTACAATAAATTTTACGTATTAAATTCAAGAACGACATGACTACATCGCAACAGCGATTTGCGAGCGGGTTCCACCTGTAGGGAATGTCTGCAACACATTGGTATTTATTTAGAGTTAACGCGAGCTCGTAACCGCCGTCCGTTCTGCAATAAACAGATATCAAAAGCAGACATATTGGCGTATTGTGTATGTTATCACACAAATAGATTAAGTGGGTTGATTGAATGTGATACACCGCACACGAGTGGTTACCACACATTTTGTGACTTACACAGCTTAAAGTAATAAACTGAATTATACCTAAATTAAACATCAGAGTGAGTTAGTTTTCGAGGACGTAAATTTTAAATACAATTCACGCGTAACGGTTACCATTTCCATTTAATTAATCAGGGAACATGAGGCTTGTAGCCACAATAAGCAATAAATGTACGTCGAGTATATTGTACAATCATGTTCATAGTGATCAAGATATCAATAGACTATTTGTAATCGACAATCTATTCAGGCCAGGCGATCGAACATCTCTAGGATAGAGCAGCACAAAGGGAAGCCGGATCAAAGGAAGGAGGATAGAAGCAATCTCTGCAGCGGAAAGCACTCAATTTAGTAGAGATGTAGATTTGACTGCATCACTAAGATATCAGTAGCCTTTCATATCAGTTACAATAAAGCACCTGAAAACTTTGTTATAAGACTACATCAAAAATATTAATATGTGCTCTTTCAACTAGGATCCAATAAGCTGTATAGGTACTACAGCTTACGTGCCGTATTCAGGAAAACTGAATATGACAATTTTGTTTGAGTTTAATCTGTACCTATGTTTACAGTAATAAACTTTTTATAATGTTTAAAATACATTTCTAGAGTGAATTAGAACGCGGACATCAGATTACGTTATCTCACTTTATGTGTGATGAACTACAAACATTTTAATTAAGTGTGTGACGTCACTGCGTTCATTACGTTACACGAGAGTCTAAATTTCAGACTGTACAGTGTACACAGGTAGGTCAGTACGTACAACAATATTCTTTGATGTTACACATGCACGTTCAGTCAAGTTAGTTCACCCCAAAAGGATCCGTGTGATAGTCATACGTAGTCATAAGTCCTTTGAAAGAGAAAAAAAATGTACAAAACACCGCTGATTTACCTCAACGAGTCTGCGCAGACTGCGGGGAACATGAAGCGGGGCATGCTCAAATAACTTTGCATGTGACACTTTATTTTCAGGGTTATAAAGTGCAAGATTGTTTGAATGAAAGCCACGAGACAAATACAACTTCACGTGCTCTTTGAAGCTTGTAAGGGTCTTAATGAAGTGTCTATAAACACGGTGTTATATAAAATTCACTAATACCTATGTATACATGTTGTTTGGAAAGTTGATGCAAGGTCTGAAGATATTAGGCAGAATTATCTGTTTTTAAGAGAGGAGGCTTGCAAACGAGCACATCGATTACAAGAGGGTAAGCAACATCTACAAAACTTACAAAGGAGTCACAAGTATGTTTGCCGCACATCTCGGGGAGGAGGACAGGGCCTCCGTCGACCGCGATACAAACGCTATGGTAACCGCGTCAGGCGATACGAACCGCCTAAAGTCAAGTGTCGTGGTGGCCCGGAGGTTAAGACGCCCGCTTCTCATGCATGAGAGTGCGGGTTCGAAACCTATCAACGGCAAGTACCAGTGTGACAATTTCCGAGTTATATGTACTTTTTTTAAGATTATTTCCACACCACTGACAAACGGTGAAGGAAAACATCGTGAAGAAATCTGTAATTACAATTTCGAATAAGTTTAAAATCGCCAACCCGCAACAAGCAAGCGTTTTGATTATTGCACAAACCTTCTCCGTGTGAGAAGAGGCTTTGTTCAGCAGTAGGCACTTATAGGCTGTTGATGAAGTCTAGGCAGTCCGCTACTGCATAAAACTACTTGTTTTAATAATTGCAGGTTTATTATAGGCATACAGAAGTTGTATTGCTATTTATTTTCCGGAATGAGAAATATAATATAGTCGCAGAATCGGTCGAAGTCATGGGACGTAACTTCACCTCTATGACAACAAAGGACTATGCAAAATAAAATACATTAAGTTAATTACGTACACAAGAACATAACAAGTATTTTATTTGTGGAAATGGTGCAGGGTACCCATTGTACTAGACAAGGATTTGAAGAAAATGTTGAAATTCTTTACTATCTTGAGACAACAAGAGCACATTTTAATAAGACAAGACAAGTAGGCGAGTACCTATTATACGTATATTATGCATACGAGCTTTGAGAAAATAGCTAAAGATTCGCTGCAGACTTTTCAAGCACATATTAAAATACTGTAATTTAGATTTGAAAAAGGAGAATATTTTGGTATTTAGCGTGGGGACAAAACGATCCCAAAACAAGTATGGAAGTGGGTATTAGTCTCCGCAAAATACCTGGCTTATTTTCAGGTTGTTATTATGGTTGGGTGGGAGTGTGGGTGTAGCCTACGTCTCTTGAAATATCATCCCCTTGTTTGTGACCGGCGTGGTAGACTAAACAAGTTATATAAAGATTTTTCTAGATAAATATGAAAGTAAGTACTACACAATGTTTTATAAACACTAAATGTGCTCGCTTCAAATAGGTCCGTTTACAAACTATTAAATACTCATAAAATGGTTGCTGCAATCATAAGAAAAGATTGGTTTTCAATTAATTTTCTGTACGATTGAATTGTTAGGTATGTTTCGAATTGATGGACTAATGACGAAATCGCAATTAATGTATGCGTTAACGTTTGTTTAAGAAATACGAAGGTCAATTGATAAATTACTTATGTTACATATTTGTATTTTGTAGTAAGTTCAATCACATAAGGTGGCATTTGTATTACTATCGATATACTTAGGATGTATGGGGACGGCGGTCGGCACGTGATGCACCATTACACGTACGAATACCGATCCGCGGTCGCGATCCCTTACGTAAGACTTTCTACAAGCTTTTTGTAGCCATGTTAAATCTCAGCTAGACTTTAAAAGCAAAGAAAATATGTAATAAAACCATTTTATATTACCAGTATCAGACAAAGAAAGTAAAATAAACAAGAGAGTCGAGTCGAATCGAAACAGTTCAGTGTAAGTCATAAAACCGTGAGATAAACACACGCTGACGCTGTATGAAACACTAGCGACCGCCGGAAAAACGCTATTTAGGATCAAGCACGCGATGCTTACACAAACGAAACAGGTTCGACTACCTGACCTCATCCGTACGACTCTTTTTAAAAATATGTTATGAAACTTAAGCCGCAGATAATTTGCATACGTAATGTGCAGCCGCTCGGTCCTAAACCCGATGCATTTTAGAGTCCATGTGCCAACGACAACGGCGAGTGCGTAATTACATTAAATTGTAGCAAGCAAATAATATTTCCGTCTAGTTTTTATTGTGTATTATGTCAAGTTGTTTATCAGTAGTTAAATGAATAAGAACATAGCATCGATTGCGATGTTAAATACTGCCCCATAGCAAACAAGTAGAAACCCGGCTCGCAAATCGCTTAGGCAAAAGTTAAACAAGGCAGAACTTTATAAATATTAGCAACATATCACAATTCTGTACAATACATTCGAATTGGAAACCATGAAACAAAAGTGAGAATTTACACAGTTTGAGTTTTAATACTTACTAGGTATTTAATAAGTTTGCTACAAAATTCTGTGATTGTCGAATGTACAAGATGAAATGGATAATTGAGCAATTTTGATGACCATCTATGAGAATTGACCAACTAGCCAACTACTGCCACCACATAACTTTATGTTTGTATAAAAATATCAACTTAATGTCTTAAATTACGAATAAATGATTATAAACTAAATACAAATCACTGATAATATAGTTCGTGGTGCAGACGGTAGGTGGTGCGTCTGTCGCTCAGATAACCGCTCAGCTCATGTGAAAGCCGCGAAGCGTTCAAACATTTATACATTCGCTTTGTAACATCACAAGCAAGCACTTAAAACTATATTGGCATTTCTCAATAGGTACAATAATATGAACAGGTTTGTTCAGTAAACAAAATTAATACTAGAATTGTTAAAATTTACAGGCAGTGTAAGGCTGGGCGCGGACGACTGGCTGCTCACTGCAGCATTGTGTTCCACACACGACAGACTCTCAGGTGTGGTCCGAGCAGGCTGAGTGAGTGAAGCTGCCATACCAACTGCAACTTATTATTCTGACATTTGTCATGGATAGTGCCACAAATTATATTTTACATGAATGATCAAACGAAAGCTAAAAGTAAAAAAGTATTTGCAATAGTTTTCCAATATGGAACCAAATATAACCTAAACAATAACATTAAGATATAAGTTTCAATGTCATGTAGAACACAATGCAGGAGTAAACTTCTGTGCCCACACCTACACCAAACAAAAATAAAATATAAAATTTATATAATTTTCAGTTACATTTAAAGCAATTTAACACTAAATTATTCAGCCTTATGTACATGCGATGTAAATACGGATTAAGTAAATATAAACGAACTTAAATGCATTTTGTGGCATTCTAAATTAATTAAGTACTTCAGTTCAATCACATTTTTGAGGTTCAGCATAAACAAGCTTCGAGTACATTACAATAATAGTATCAACATTGATGTCACCTCACCAGTCACCACACGCTCCCACAACGGACAATTCACATCACAAATATTATCAATGTTAATACTATGGAACAAAACATGAAACACACTCTAAAGCACATCTATACTTTTTTTTCATTAAAAATCTCATGAATATACAGATAATATTCCTCGAAAAGAGTACAGAAAAATTGGCTAACTACAATTTCGATATATCTTAAAATTACAAAAATCCTTTACTTTTTCGACTATGATGGTGTAAAGAAACTTATTAAAATAAGCTTCGTAAGCACATAGAGAGTGTATCAAATTGTATAAGTACAAAAATTATTTAAAAAATAATAAAGTAAACCAACATCAGTAATGTTGTCATGTCTGTCAGCTAGTAATTAACTAAGATTATTATTTATCACCATACTTTATAATTTCTCTTAAATTTTTTCATTATCTAATTATCAACCCAGTGGAATATAGTTAAATCAGTTTTTGACAAATAAACAAAACTTTAATTTCGTTGTATATAGTAACTATATTTTATAATGGTATTCATAAAGCTGTCTTAAGTGTCAGTTTCTTTAAATTAGGCCGGCAAGTCAATAGCTGTCACTCAAGCGTTATAACTAAAAAAATACAACAGTTTAATAAAAAAAAACAATATAAAGAAATATAAACAGCTGCATAATATAGTGTCATAGATAATTTCCTTAACATCACTATGAAATGAAGTCCTTTTACCCCTATAACTAAACTCTATGGCAGTTTTTTAGAAAAATATACAAAATGCATCATTTTATACTTAAGATCACTGTTGCATGTTGTTGCACTTCGAGATCAAATCCACTCAAACGCGGGCATCAGCCGCACACTAGCACAATGTCACTTACACCAGGAACCCATACGGGCCACTACCACGGATCTGGGCGCGCATACTCTGCACGCTGTTCATTATCTTCTTCTGGTGGCCGACGAGCGTGACGCCGAGCGAGGCCAACTGGTGCACTGTCAGGTCTACCACGGCATCCATGTCCAGGATGCCCGCCGCGCGGAACTTTTCAATATACCGCGACATCTTGATGCACTCTAACCATTCCTCTACTGATGAGAACTGGATCAAGTCAGGAGTATCACCCGCTAATGGGTCTGCAGAGCGATTCTGTGCTATTTTTCTCAGTGTATCAGGACAGCGGATCAGTTTATCTAAAGTTTTCACTATGCTCGCGAACGAAGGACGGTGGGTACGCTCTTTCTGCCAACAGTCAAGCATCAACTGGTAAACTGCCTCAGGACAGTCCATTGGAGCGGGTAGTCTGTATCCTTTCTCTATGGACTTAATCACATCTTGGTTACTCCAGTTCCAATAAGGTCGTTCACCAAAGCTCATAACTTCCCAGCACACAATGCCCATAGACCATACGTCGCTAGCTGAGGTGAACTTTCTGAAAGCAATGGCCTCCGGTGCAGTCCATCGTACGGGGATTTTTCCGCCACGCGTAGTATATGCGCCATCTGCAGTTGACTCAATTTCGCGTGACAAACCAAAGTCAGCGATTTTACATACGAGTTGCGAATTTACAAGCACATTACGAGCAGCCAGATCACGATGAATATAATTCATTTCCGAAAGGTACTGCATACCAGTCGCGATGCCACGTAGCATTCCAACTAATTGAACAACACGGAATTTGCCATCATTAGCTCTCAAGAATGTGTCTAAAGAACCATTCTCCATAAATTCTGTTATGATCATGATGGGATTACATTTCGTGACGACGCCTTGTAAGAAAATAACATTTGGATGTTCGAATTGTCCCATTATTGACGCTTCAGCGAGAAAATCACGTCTCGCGCGTTCTGTAGAGCCCGGTTTTAGGGTCTTAATGGCCACGTCAATCTCTTGACCACAACTCGCTGGTAATTTAAGTTTACCTCGGCACACATCTCCGAATTCGCCGCCACCAATAATTGCTTCTATTGTAATACAAGAAGCGTCGATTTCGCGTGCAAATTCCCTGACTGCCTGATTAGGATCTTCATAAGTGTGGGGGTCAATATAAGTTCTGGAGCCTGTCCCAGCAAACAATGGTGTTGTGGCGTTACTGCTAGTCTTCGCAGGACGCTCAGGTCCAGTGTACACTTCTCCATTTCTATAGTTAAGTGCATTACAGTCACTGGGTTGCTTTTTGTCACATTCGTCATCTGTTCGTGAACGTAGAAATAGTACAGTAGCAATAATTGCAACGACCGACAGTACGACTACTGCAACCATCACACCAGCTACTAATCGCACCTGTGCTCCCTCCTCTTCACCTACAAATGTTGTTTCCAGCACAGATCCAGTGCGTGCATAGACTATACCACTGAATTCACCCCAACCACGCTTCATTTTTGCTCTTACTCTAATACCATATTCAGTATCTCTTTTCAGACCCGTTATTATGACATGAGGTTCTTTAGAGATTTTTAGGGTGGCATTTGCACTTTTCTCCATATTATCCTTAGGGAAACATTTCACTTCATAGCTTTCTATTGTATCATCAGGATCAGTGAGATCTATGGGTGGTGGGTTCCATGCTAAAGATAGCTTGTCACTTTCTACACTCAGGATGCGCAATTTAGAGACAACACTAACAACTGACGCTTCTGTTACAGCAGTAATTTCAACCTTTTTAGGTTCTTCTCCGGTTTGCTCAGTCACCCCATTCTCAGCATAAACTTGGAATTTATACTCAGTGACCGGGTCCAATCCCATTACAGTAACTCTGGTGTTGTTTAAACCAGTTGCAGCTGGTCTGTACTCAATGCTAGGACCACAGTTGGAACAAAATACTCTGTAAGTTATATCATTACGTCCTCCTGTTTTATGTGGTGGTTGCCAAGCTAGTGAAATAGAAAACTGGTCTGCAAATGTGACAGTAAGATTGACTGGTGCTGAAGGTGGCTGTGTACAGGGCACATTTTTAGGGTCTTTTTTGGCTCTATAAAAACCTGGTACACATTTACACTCTGCAGCAGCATAAGCTGTAGATTCAGAATAATCTGGGCAAGTAATGCAGGGGTCATCGCCAGTGTGAGATTTAAATTTTCCAGGTGCACATTCATTGCACACTTGATTGTTTAGGTCAGGTTCAAATCCAGCACGGCATTTGCATGAACCACTAGGCAAAGTCCACTTGCCATCACCCTTGCATAAATAAACTGGAGGAACCTCGCCTGGAGCTGTCTCTGCATTCTCCACGCAAGTACCATTGGCCTGTTCAATGACTGTAACCTCACGACCAGTTGGTGTGGCTGGAAACCTCGCAAAGTTAACAGTAACTTCTGGACAAGTGATGTAGTAGACTTTCACTGCCAATATTGATATACATGCACCCTGATCTCTGAAGGCGAAATACACGCCCCTCTTAGTGACTGCAATGCTTTTGACCTCCGTGTTGATATCAACTTCAGAATTAGTATTGAAGCGACCCTCACCTGCAGCTATTCTTCCTACAAGTTTGTAGCTCTCTGGCTCCCAGGGAGGCTGCTCTCGCGTGGCGACGTCGAACTCGTAATACAGCAAACTAAAAGTTTCTTTGCAGCTCAGGGCATTACCAGGAAACAATGAGCAATCTCTTATGGTGAACTTGATTTCAATATAAATACGATTGGCATTCCTGCGTTCGATGAATGGCGTCCAGAGCCAGTTATTAACATTGTGATGGGCGACGTCACATACCACGTACGATCGCCAGTTGATCTGTTTCTCGAAGTTAGTGTAGGACTCCTCGAGCCAGCCGGGGGTGCTTGCTTGAGCGCCGTAAGGGAAGCGTGTCCAGCCAAGGGTCGCTTCGGTGGTGGTATCGAGAAGCAACACCTGCTCGGCTCGCGCATTTAGCGCCGTCACCACCGCGGCCGCCGCCACCACAAACGACCACATCATCTTTTCCGCATAATAACACAGTTACGCCCAAACAACGCTGATACGCCACTGTCCACACCTAATTTTAACTTTCTTCTACATAATGTACACTACAGTTTTCACATTAAGTTCAACACTTCACTTTGTAGATAAAGGATGGCTCAGTCATTTTCTCTTTGCTGCTATGTATTCAAAGTAGTCTGAGAGCAATCACAAGTTCACTGTAATTGTGGTGACAAAGATTACCACAATGTCTGTAGTTTATATATTACGCGATAATTAAACACAAATAACATTATTTTATGTGAGGATTCCGCATTTTTAATTTATATTGATCTCGTATTACACAGATGAGACCACTCACTTGACATGGACGCGCAGCAGTTTTGTGTGTTGCCGTACCCGAAAAATAACAACAAAATTGCATTAGAAAGTAAACCATAAAGTAATAAAGTTTTTTTCACGATGTAGTCATAGAGCACAGTCATAGTGAATTTTATTTGTCTATGGTAACTTTTATTATGATTAATTGTTTACAAATCCTTGTTTAGATGTTAAACCTATGTATAAATTGTATTGTTGGTAAATAAAAAGTTAATTCTCAGTTACAAAGCAGTTGATATTCAAGAATGTTTGGGGTGGCGCTTGTGTTGCACTTGGAACTTGGCCACATAGGCATAGCTCATCATGACCCAATGAATGGTCATCAAAGATTTAAAAATACCCATCCAAATTACTTACGATAAAATCTGCGAGACTAATCCTTCTCCTAGTTACTGACAATAACTATAATATTGTACAATTAAAAAAGTGATCCCATCAGAATTTTTAAAGTGTAGTAAATCCATGTGTAGTGTTGTTAACCACAGAAATATAATATTAAACAAATTATATAGTGGCATTGAGCGACTCAACGGAAAAAAGCTTTGTTGTAAAAGAATTTTCCAAGAAAGATAGCATATTCGGTCAGGGCCGTCTTAGACTCCTCTGGGGCCCTTGGGCACACAATAATACGGGGCCCTTTGAAATGATTTTTTTATAACGTTGGGACACATTAGGATTTCTCCTGTATCATGGTTGCATTTGTAAACGTAAAAGTTCACTTAGACATCACACCCAGACCCGAAAAAACAATTTGTGGATTGCACAAAGATTTGTTCCGTGCGGGAATCGGACCCGCTAAACGTTCCGGGGCAGCCAGTTGCCGCGCAACGTGTGGGGAACTATGGATGACTATATGGCACCTGCCGAAACAAAGTAATTATAACACGTAAAAGGCAGGTGGAGACTCGTCACGACCGGGCCCCCGGGAATGGCTCCTAGACATAGCAACAGAGGTACCTACAACGGAAATGTGAGTAGCTGAAGGGTAAAGAAACTATCACTGCTGTTTACTTAGATCATCTGCTCCTGCCAAAGCATCCTGCATCTCTGGCAGTCTCGCGACTTACGTTATATAATAGTTTCTTACCCTCCGAGCAGGATCACTGCTCTCGTGCCTTCACTTTGGACAGCCAAGTAAGGCAAGCCAGGGGTGAGAGACTTATTCCTTGTCATCGTTTGCTCCAGCCAGTCAATTAAGGCAAGCCGGAGAATAAGGAACTGTGACTTCTCCCTGGAGCATTCGGAATAATGGTAGACTGTGGGGTCGCTAATGTCGTCACCCCGCCACAAAGTGCCCTGCGGGCGTTATATTATTATTCTTTTAGATCAAAATAGATGGCGCTACTTTACTTTAGTTTAATATTTTGTTAAGGGCGATTTTATAATTATTTATATGGGATAAGCCGGTAAACGAGCAGATGGATCACCTGATGATAAGCAATTGGCGCCGCCACTGGACACCCGAGACACCAGTGACGTTAGGTACAAGTGCGTTGCCGGCCTTTTGGGGATTAGGAATTTGAGGATTGTTAGGGATTCAGGGGGGAGATTAAGAACGGAGGTAATTGTAGTACAAGCGTTGTTTAACTTCCCTTTTCCTGTGAGGCCGTGGTATAACTCCGGTCGAGCCGGCCCATTCACGCCGAAGCATGACTTTCTCACTTATATATATATATTATATATATATATTTATAATTATGTGTTAGTTATTATTAGACTTCGACATTCAATATTTAATGATAAATATTAGTAATAAATTACAAGCCAGAAGCAACGTATCGGGACGAATGAAAGTACTCGATCCAACCATGGCTAACCACGGTCTTCCAGAAAACATACATACATACATACTGTCTCCCAATGGGGTAGGCAGAGACTATGGATCGCAATTATGAAATCTCAGAAAATTAGCGTGAAATAATATATTTATAATGTTTACGTTGCATTGTTTCGTTGTGTTGCATTGTGTGAGTGAGATGTGAGTAAGATTTATCATGTCATTTACCATCTCCAAAACTGGTTTACTTTAGCACTGGAAAACCCTTTCAAAGCTTGTAGATTCATTAATTCTGTGATCATGGCAGATTCGCTGGAAGATCTAGGCACAATGCTCGATGATCACTGTTGCGTCACCACTGCAGAAAGCCCAATTTCGAGAGCGAGGTTAATCGTTGAATCTAACTTAGAAAGACAGCGTTCGGGAAACTACCTAACTTTTTCTTGTCTGCCATAAGTAAGTACCTCAAGACAGCAGTCTACAAATCGTGAAACTAGCGAGATCCTATGATTACCTGTGGCGCTGTAATGTAGACTTTTCTTATAATAAGAAAGCTCGAAGCTGATATTGTAGGTATATTTGTGTAACCCACCCATGGATACAGAGGAAAATCCTAGAGCGGGGCAACATATTTTTTACCTACTCATAAACGCGTTTCATAATATTGTTACCGTAGCGTACTGATTAGGAGGCTTTACTAGGATTTTTTACCCTATTAGTTAATGAGGACATGTTATACTTATTTGGAAGACGAAGACCTGGTAAAAACAAAAAAAAAAACAAATAGCTGGAAATAAATCACGAACTCGCATCGTCCGAGTTTTTAAACATTTTCTAAACTGGTCATGGAAATAAACTTACATATTGTTATGCTAGGGGAAATAAAAGTGAGATTTATTCTGAACAATATTTAATAACGTTACGATAATTTATATGATAAGTATTTTTTATGAAACGTAGTTACGAATTATGGTCGAATTGAACTTAATTTAGGTAGGTAATTGATATTAAACTTGCATACAGGTGTTGCGTTACCATTCTTTTGGTAAGTCTGAATGCAGTGGCCGTGGGTACCGCTGCGTCAGGTGAGTTGGTTGGATGTTGTTCCCTCAGGTAGTCAGCAGGACAGTCGGCAGGACGAGATGTTGAAGGCTAGTCACTTCCTGAAAATGAAAAAGAAACAGTCGCGCATAGTTAGTTGTACTTACGATATAAATATTACCGGCTATACAACGATTACGTTTAGAATTTAGTTATATCGATATTTTAAGTTTAGTAGGGTTGAGGATCTTGATGTTTCGCTGTGTGTACAAGATACTTATTCCTTTTTATATTTTATACAAATGCATAAGGAGGACTTAAATGCTAACAGCGTTTTCCAACATCTACCAATCATCCATTGAGAATGCAGAAAAGTACGTGGAACTACAATAAATAGGCTATGAGAAACCACTAAGTTTAATAAGATACGTGTAATGTACTTTGCTTCCTCGTGTGCTTAGGGATGAGGGAGACTGTTACCGCTGCTGCCGCTAGCCGCTACCGCTACAGTACAGCTGCCGCTGCCGTCGTTCCTGTTGCCCGCGCCCTCCCGCCGGCGCCGCTCGTGGATATGAAAGTTATAAGCACATAGATAAGTAAAATACTGTGCTAATATCTAAATGAGTTTTCTTGTCAAATCCAAAATACAAGATAAAATACAATTAGTCAGAAAACAAACAGTTTGTAAGTGCAAAATAATCATTGTAGATAATTTAATATACAGGTAAGGCAAGAAATTAAAGATTAGGTAATTCAGTACCGAGAGTACCGACCGAGACAATATCTTTTGTAACCATTGGTCGGTTCAGTAGCCCTGTAGCCAACGAATAAGTTACAAAAGATATGCCTTTATTATTGTTATAAACAATATATATTTTTTTTTATTACCTACTATTTTTTTTCTTGTCCTTTCTGTGCCAATAAACTGTGTTTCTTTCTTTCTTTCTTCTATTCTCTCTATACTAAATCAATATTTGTTTTCTTAAACCTAGGCACCTTACAGGCACCCCTAATGTTTGACGCGCGTGCCCAACTGCCCATAGAGTGCGTAAATTAGGGGTGCCTGTGTGGTGCTTCCCTAGGGTGTTCTCTAGGTTTAATCTGCCTCTGGGTAGGTAGTAAGTAGGCTTACACTTAGTAGGCAGGCTCTTTGACAAATGGAATTTATTATACCTAATTATTTTATGGGTCTGTCGCTGGTCCCATGCCCTGTGTGATGTGTCGCTTTGCCGCGTCGTGTTGTCAAATCTAAGCGACTTATTGGCGGCAATGCAGTTAGTCTGTTCGAGACCAAGTACAGACTCCTACATGTCCGCCTATAAGCAATTCACCGCTTAAAGGTACCGCTGTGGACGCTTCGCTAGCTTCTCCAACAACAGGCGTGCTCGTCAGGAAGATGCGGAGTTAGTCAATTGAGGACTTGTGTAGATACTAAAAGGACTGTAAAACTTTTAGTGTCAACAGCGAGTCCAAAATGGACTAGCAAGTAGCCACGCGCCAGCCTGTTCACCTATTTAGAACGGTATGAAGTGTAAATATATTTGTGGTCATGGTGAGTACCGACCTGCTTCATCAGAGAGCTGGTGACCGTTGGGAGTGCAATGTTCGTGGCTCAAGGAGGCTGCGCCACGCTCCCTCGTCAACATGGAAATATAAACACTCATGTAGGTACTAGCAGCTTAAGCTGCACTTATAATGGAATATTTCGAACCTTCCTCATACATTTTTTGTCTTCATTTAAAAGAAGAAATAGACTTGTCTAATCATGTGACTTAATTATTACCTACGTGGTAAGTAGGTAAGTACTTACTGGATGGAA